AATAAAAGATTTACTTAAGTACGCACTTAAAATTCTTAGCCATTCATGCTGCCCAAGTGATTCTTACGACGGGAAAATATAATTGAAAACCTTTGCTGGGAGTTGGCGAATCTTTATAATAATGTAGATGAAAGAAATATTATTTAGTAGGTAAGGCATTATTTTCAAACCAATTACTAACTTTTCAAACCAATTATTTGTACCCTATGCAACATTCTCAAAAGATTTTGGACAAAGCCCTTAGAGTATATATAAGCAATCTATAGAGTGCGCGTAAAAAGTAGGAACTGGTGGCATTAGTCTGGGCGCACCATCTCTGTCTGTCAGTAGCAAAACGACAGTGACAGCACTATTTAACCTCTATAACTTCTCATACATTTGAAGTGTGCAACTGCTTACGCTTTGACAGTACGCCGCAGGGCCTAATGCGCACTCTATAGCTTGCTTATATGTACTCTAAGACAAAGCCCTATTCAAACTGCAGTGGATATTCCGGATGAATTCACAAGTAAAGGACTTGACAGTTTGTACGTGTACCTCTTCTCCTGATGGTACCATACCAAATAAAAAAAACCGGCCAAGAGCGTGTCAGACACGCCCACAAATAGGGTTTCGTAGTCAACGATTAAATATTAGGTTTTTCAGCATTACAAACTTAATTTTGTTGCTGGTTTGTTAGCAGCAGTATGATGACCAATCGCAAATAGAAAAAACTCGATTTTTTCTGAAACCTTTCAGGGTACAATATCCGTTATAATTTTCATTGTAACTTCAGATAGTAAGCTATATTCCATAATTGTTTCAAAATTTTAGCGTTTATACTTTAGAAGTTACAGCTGGAACAAATTATAGGTCAAAAACGGCCTTTTTTTAAAGCAAATATCTCGTGACAGAAACATTTAAGTGACTTTGTTTCAAAGAAACCTCATCTTAGTTTTAAAAGACCTATTCAACGATACCCTACTCAATATTACAGAAGAAAAAAAAATTTTTTGCCCCCCTTTCACTTGTATGGGAGGCGGTCCAAAAAACATAATATAAAATATTTTTTTCTTAACATTTCTATATTTGGGTTAACATGATCTATCTTCTCACCAAATTTCATGTTAATAGCTCTAAAACTGACGAAGATATGAGGGCGCGGCATACAGACAGACAGACAGACAGACAGACAGACAGACATGACGAAACTATAAGGGTTTCTAGTAGACTACGAAACCCTAAAAAACTCACCTTCATCTTATTCATTATCATTCATCGTACCTAGTAACTAACAAGAGATTTTTATACTATCTTTTATCTGTGAATCAAAATTCTTCTTCCTATTTGTCATTGTATAGATAAATGATTATGTTTTATGTACTTATTTGACACCTTACGAATTTTATCAAGATATACTCTCACTGAAAATTTAAAGTAATTTTGAAATTAGAATTTTCTTTATACCTATAGCGATGTGACATGGCGATTTCAAAATGGCGTAAATTTTCTGTATTCAGATAGGTTTTCCATTGACATATTTCCCGTTTACTGTCGAAAAAGCTGCCTTAATAATTATTAAATAAATGATAAATGATGTTTCAAATTTATGGAGGCTCTGAGTAGTGGTAGCTTTTCCATAAGCGCTGTATGAACCGGTCTTAAGTAACAAACAGAAACCATTTTCTGCACACCCCACTGCACTAGTGCATTTTAATTAAGAATTTAAAATCGACGATTATGACAGTGGTTTGTGTGGTAATTTTGGCGTAATTCGCGACAGTGTACCGCGGGCCATGTCTGGCGCTACGCCAGCCAGCCAGTGGCAAGCACGAGTCGCACAAGTAGCACGAATTGCACGAGTAGTGACAAGTGCATGGGTTGCTGACGACCACATACCCTACTAGACGGCACACTGAAGTTGAATACTTTCTGCGCCAGCCAGTCAGTGAAAAGCACGAGGCGCAGGAGTAGCGACAAGTACAGAGATCATTTTGCGCCAACGACCATAAGACAGGACGCTAAAGTCGAGTTCAAAACACAAACAGCCACAACACTCCACTGCTGGACAAGGGCCTCCTCCTATTGAGTGCATAGTTGTGATTTGACGTATACCAACCAATCAGTAAAATGTAATATTGCCAACAGTAGGTAATTAATTAGTTTTGATTCGATTTGATACGGAATAAAGTCTTATTGTTTTTATGTTAAGTTTCATTCATGTTAATAAACAGAATATCAATATGAGATTTGAAACTATTGAGTAAACACAAAATAAAGAGTAATTTATATAAGAGTATTGATACAGACTTTCCGTGTAAAGACACGTTATTACCACTTGGCTCAGCTCAGCACCCTTTACGTGATACTTGAGAATCTATACCTAGGAAGTTTCCCATTGTTGGATTGGATCCACTGTCTAGTAGTCTGTGTAGTCGTTGCTTTGCGCTAAAGGAAATTGAGGAAAATAATGTTAAGAGTCCTTGTTGAAGCACAAAGACTATTTTATTGTATTTTGGATACAACTATAGCGGATCGTGGCTTTTTCTGCTAACCGTATTTATTTCAGAGATTTCATTGATTTATAAATAACGCTATGATTTTTAGGCATATATGTAACTGATTAAAAAGTTCTAAAAATCGTCTCAGTTGCTGGGTAAATACAACAATTGATTAGTATAAAAACTTACCATTATCCACATTATTTTTTGCATCATTTTCATAACCCATTTTGTGAGCCGCTCCGGCTTAGAATAGCATCACCCCATATCTTTCCCAAGGTGTCATAAGAAGCGCCTATGCTTTGAGAGTTAATGTTTCGCAACTTTAGGCCACAAGCAGACAACCTGTCACTATGATGACACACAGTCTTCTGAGTGGCTCTCAAACTATTGTCTACCTGCCCCGCAAGAGGTTTGTATGTTGACTGATTTCACAAAAATACCTTGTATACGGGGTGTAACGAAAACTTTGCAGGCGTGCTCAGACAATGAAACTGAACAACTTTTACTACCCAATGGTGGGATACGAAAATAATTTTCCGGCCTCCCATACAAAGTCAGTCAGCTGATCGTGAATTTTGTATAGGAAGTCGGATTTTTTTTTTTCGTTTCCCACCATTGGCTCCATAGTAAAAGTTGTTCAGTTTGATGGTTTGATCATCCCTGCAAAGTTTTCGGTACACCTTCCCTTACACCCTGTATTTTAGGCCGTCCACAGTGATTCTTTACTTTGTAAAAGTCGGCTTCAATACAGATTCTGCTATTGACTGGTAGAGCAAGGTTTCTCCGCACGACTGGCATCTGACATGAACATGAACAAACCACAGCCACGCCATTTTAAAAAGCTACCGAGACATTTTCATTTTTAACTTACCTGCGTCAAAAAGTAATAAATATAGCAAAAGAATAGATACTAAATATATAGCATGATGCATAGCGAATAACGATAGTGACCGATAGCGAAAATGCAGGACGAGCTGGTAATAAGGAACAACTTTCTTAAAGTACCTATCTAACATACGTCGAAATATGAAACAAGAAGTTTGGACCTTTTAAAACTTTTGTCGCACGTGGTGTACTCGTATATTATGGCCGTTTTACAGCCTTTACGCTCTGCCTACCCCGCAAGGGATACGATACGGGCTTCATATACGGGGTGTAAGAGACGGTGTACTGAAAACTTTGCAGGCATGCTCAGACCATAAAACTTTCCCCATGGAATGTATGGTGGGAAAAATTTTCTCATTTCCCACCGTTGGCTCCATAGTAAAAGTTGTTCAGTTGGTCTGATCACGCCCGCAAAATTTTTCAATACACCATCCCTTATGTTGACAGATTTCACAAAAATACCTTGTATATTTTAGACCTTCCACAGTGATTCTTTACTTTGTAAAGGTCGAATTCAATACAGATTCTGCTATTGACTGGTAGAGCAAGGTTTCTCCGCACGACTGGCATCTGACATGAACGAAGGAAACACACGAAACATTCTGTTTGTGCTTTATTTTTGCCCCAAGCTATCGCATGCGTTAGGGAAACGCGATTTTTCACCTATTTTTATACGAATGCGATTTATGTCAAGCGGTGTGACCGACGAATCTGCTAAAGCAGCGCATTGCACAACGCTACGCCGATGGATGAGTATGTTAAACCGTTGGACATAATGTACTAATATGAAAATAAGATGGAATATAACATTTTCTTAACACATGCGATAGCGCTACGCAAAATTAACGCACAAACAGACTTCATGTGAGTTTCTCTCCGAACCGGAGCCACGCTATTTTATAAAGCTCCGGAGACATTTTCTTTTTCGATTACTTACCGGCGACAAAGGATACTAAATATAAAGTCCTAAAACATTCTGTTTAAATATTTACAGGCTGTGATCTACTCGTGAAATTGAACAACTTTTCTTAGCATATATTTTCGAAAACGAAAAAAATTCGGCCTACCCACAAATTAGTGAGACATGATTTGAACATTTTTGTATTGTTAGTTCAGTTCTTTTTTCATATTTTCACGTTTCATGTTTGTGGAGATAAGACCTCACATTCTGACAATCAAAATTGGATAATTTATCCAAAAATAATAGCTTTCCGTAAAAAAAAACTATTTTCAGTGTAGTTTTGTGATTCAAGAAATCTTTGAGTCTCTCCGTCAATTTCATAAATCGTTTGGCTCATTTGTTAGTATGATTAGTTGAATATCTTTACATATTTTAATTAGTTAAAACAGAAAGTTGGTATCTTCTTCTTTTCGAATGGGACATTGAGTCCACGGACGACCTGATGACAATTTTTTCAAAGTCAGTGTTTTCCAACCACCTACTAATTGCTAACAGGCCTCTGACATGGCTGAGTAACGATCGCCATCTAAGTAATCCTAGACCGGGACCTATGGCTTACCATGCCCTCCGAAGCACGGAACCATTTTGCTTTTGGGACAAGCACGTGGTTCAGCCTGCAATATCCTTACTAGACTTAAAACAAATTCACAAAGTGATACAAATTTTCTGAATAACCCACCGAGAATCGAACCCGGAACCTTCTGCTTTACAGACAGTCGCACTGGCCACTGCGCCAAATCGGCTGCCAAAGTTGATATCGAAACACCATACCATCTGCTTCCCGGACTTCGATCTTCGGTGTAACTTTTTCAAGTAATTAATTATTCTTGGAGCTAAGAGTAAAGCTAGGTGTACGGTTCTAGAGCGGGGATGTTATACGTACCATCATTATGGTACACCTGCCATAATCAGAGCCTTGGTACCATGTACCACATTTTCATTATGTACTATTGAAATCTTAATTTTAACTACCATAGTTTTTTTGGCAGCCGTTGACAGCCGATGTGGCGCAGTGGTTAGTATGCCTGCCTGCCACGAAAAGGTTCCGGGTTCAATTCCCGGTGGGGTCACTCACAAAGTTGATATTTATCACTTTGTGAATTTGTTCCCAGTCTGGTTAGGACATTGCAGGCTGAACCACCTGATTGTCCGCAAGTAAGATGGTTCCGTGCTTTGGATGGGCACGTTAGCCGTCGGTCCCGGTTGCTGTCTATGATGGCGGTCGTTACACAACCATGTCAGAGGCCTGCTACTTGCAGTAGGCGGTTGAAAAACTCTGACACCAGGGTTCATCGGGTCGTTAAACGACTCGGTGTCCACACGAAAAGAAGAAGATCGTTTTTTTGTATGTATTTGGTGTAGAATGGCCATAAACATCCACAAATTGACAACAGTTCGACCTTTCTTATCAAGCTTCAGTCGGACTTTACTCTACATCCGACGGGAGTGAAAGGGCCTCCGACTGTCATGAGGCAAAAAAGTCGCCTGCGCGTGTGTAGACGAAATTTTTTCAGATGTACCATAACTTTAGCGCTTTACACGCATAACGTCCGTTTCGACGTTATTTTTGCGCTGTATAACGCATGCGTTGGTACAATACGAATTTCGACCTTATTCTCATATAAATATGGTTTTTGTCAAATTATTTGATAAAATCTTCCGTCGACGCAGCGTTGTGCGATATTTTTGTGCTAACGGATGCGTTCGTCAAACGGTTTTACATAAACCGTATTTAAATGAAAATATAAAGCAGAAAATCGTATTTTGCTTCAGTACCATAATTCTGATAGCTTTGTGCCATAATTTCGAGTTTCAGTTTATGAAATCCCTGTTCTGGAGTCGATTTTAAAGTTCTAGAGAATAACTCAGTCTTCGAAAAGTTTCGGTATGATCATTGCAGATAACGTCGCTTTCAAGAACCAGTTTACATATTTTAAACTAGCTATCTGCCCCGCGGTTTCTTCTGTTTTTCTGTAGTAAAAAGTATAGCAATGTCACAAATTAGAAAAATGGCGCGCGGAGCGCCTAACCAGATGGCTCACTCAGTACTAGCGACGATTTTTACGCTTTCTGACTTGAACTGGAAATAACCGGAATCTCGGTAATTAAGAAGGTGGTTGATACAAACGTCATATTTCTTGAATTTAAAATTATCTCAGAATCATATATGACGTTTTTTAAGTATAAGATGTTGCTGTTCTGAGGTTTTTATATTTTGATATTTTTGACAGTAGCAACCCTGGCTATGTAACAAGTGCCAATCGCGAAAATCTAAAATAGGGCTGAGTGAACCTTTTGGCAATGTCATTGTCCAGCCTCTTACCTCTTACCTAACTACTACGGACCGTACCGAAAATCCGGGCGACTAAGGGATATAAGGGTTGATGTGTACTGCAATTTTAGGCAACAGGTTGACAACCTGTCACTTTGATGATACGCAATCCTCTGAATGACTCTCAAACTTTTGTCACATCACATGTGGTGGACATGACCGTTTTACAACCATTTACGCCCTGCCTACCCCGGTATGTATGTGACTATGTATGTTTCAGAAAAATCGTGTGCCTATGTATCTGCTGGTTGTCTCTCAGCATATCGTCTTGTGGTGCATAATATGAAATCTTTGAGTCCCTTAATCGCTTCTTACAAAGCCCACGGGAAAGATATACGGGGTGTAAAGGGACGGTGTGATCAGACCATGAGACTGAACAACTTTTACTATGGAGCCAATGGTGGGAAACGAGAAAAAAATTCCGACCTCACATACAAAGTCAGTCAGCTAATCGCAAACTTTGTATGTACGTAGTTGTTGATATACTTAATATTTAAATATTTTAAGGGCGTATTCTACTCACAAAACTGAACAACTTTTTTTAGAAACTTTTCATCGAAATATGAAAAATACAATATTGGGTGTCCCAAGTGTCCCATACTAAGTAACACACGTTTTTCCCATGTGTGAATGGAAGGTTGATTTCTTATTTTCATATTTCTTAAGTAAATTGATTGCCAACTGCAGTCCCTCGGCGCACTGGATGAATAATTAATGAACTTTGTTTCTCGGCTCATTAAGCATTACAAGAATTAACAAGTTTTCTTTCAGGCGTATTCGTTTCGTGCTAATCGCAGTTCATTGTCTTAATTTGTGCGGAGATTAATTTACCGGGCTTAGGCTTTGTAAATGCGCAAGTGGACGATGTGCCAAAGAACTTAAGCTCTTCTAGAAGTGCTTTGTGAATATACCTAGTTTTCTCCTTTTCGTTTGACTAGGAAAACAGTGAACTAGATGGCGCTTCCTGTGATTGGTCGAGGATGTATCAACATTGTGTCACTGTAGTCTCCAACAAAACATGTTGCGCCAACCCCAACTGATTTTTTGGATAAGGAAGTCGTGGAGGTAGATTATAACGATAAATCAAGTTAAGGCCTGCGGCCTGTCCCGCCTCATGGAATTTTAAAAACATAAAAACGAATCTTTTTTTCCAATTTGACAGATCGTCCGGAAATCCGAAAAGATGAAAAACAATTTTATCTTTCAATGTTGCTATCAGTTCGAAATCTGCATTCACATACATTTTTATACTTATTTATTTAGGAAGATAAAAAAAAGTAAGATTGGCTATAAACAAACGAGCAGTTTTTCCATCCAGTACTAATCTTCTAAGTCCACATTAAGGCGTTATCAATCTTGTACCGTCAGGCGCACGTCTCGCTGATTTCTAACAATTATGCTTACCGAAGTACTATAGCCAGCACGTCAACCTACCTACCGACGGCCGATAAGGCACACTGGTAGTGTGACTACTTGCAACGCAAAAGGTTCCGCATTCTATCTGTGTAAACCTGTAATTGGCTGTCTGTTTCAATGGTATATAATTATTTTGTTGTATCCGCTGTTGGTTTTCCTGTCAAAATAAAATCATTACATAGTATAAAGTAAAGTCCCTTCCCGTGTCTATATGTATGTTTCCTTATATCTTTAAAACCCCTCAACGGATTTTGATGCGGTTTTTTTTAATATGTAGGGTAAATTAAGAGGCAGGTTTTTAGATATTCTTTACCTCAAATTTTAACCATGAAAGGTATAAAAAAGGGGTTAAAAGTTTGTATGGAAAATAATTATTCAATGATGATCTGTTTCAAAATTTGTGATTAGATCAAAGAGCTAGAATAATTAAACACGTGTTTCAGGGATTTTCGATTTTTACCCCTGAAGGGGTAAAAAATGGGTTAATAGTATGTATGGAAAATCTTTATTTTAAAATGCGATCTGTTTCAAAATTTGCGATTAGATCAAAAAGCTAAAAAAAGGATACGTGTTTGAGGGATTTTCGATTTTTTACCCCTAAAGGGGTAAAAGATGGGTTGCAGCGGGTGAAACCGCTGACGGGCAGCTAGTAAAAAATAAAATAAATTGGATTTTAGGTTGGGTGTTTGTGAGTTTGTTCCCAGTCCGGCTTCGCCGTCCGACATTGCAGGCTAAACCACCGGTTTGTCCGAATAGAAAGGTGGTTCGAGTTGCTTGGGTGGTTACTGTCTACATACAATAACTCAACGGTGGTCGTTACAACTGTCAGCTGCCTGGTACTGGGTGGGCGGTTTGAAAATTTGACACCAGGGTTAATCGGGGTCGTTCCTCGACACGCTGTCCCTCACGATTGGAGAACCTAGCCATTTAAGGGTATTCATGTCAATGCTCAAAAAATCCGTATTAGTTGACCCCTTAAAATGGTAGGTAGGGATAGGTTGATGTTGTGGTGACTTGGCTGGCGATAGTACAATGCTAAGCATCAAGAGGAGGTTGGTTGAGCTAATGTAATGGACATTTTGATTTTCGCAGTTAAAACATTGTGTAAGTATTTTGTCGAAATTCCTACGTATGCAAAATAAAAAAAATACTGCGTGGTAACGACTATATAAAACGGATGTAAATATTAAATATTGCCCTCCCTGTGTGAAAATATTTTCAAAAATGGCGATTTAGATATTTGACTTTGACTGAATAATTGCGCCTTGCGAGAGTTTCCTAGATATTATGCTCTTTTAATCAATCAAAATCAAAATCAAAAGCATTTATTTCTCAGTAGGAATTACAAGATTCACTTTAAGAAAGTCACATTCTAATTCAAAATTAAAAAAGGGAAAATTTGTAGTGCAAAATTTTTTATGACAATTTGTGTTCCTACTCTAAACGCGGCTCGGGCGGGATAAAAAAAATAAAAGTAAAGGCACTGCCTCGGGACTGGCTAGGCTAACCACACAGCATGTATCTTTAAGCCTCAATAAATAACAAGTAAATGGAAATAATCACTAAGTCAATATTTAAAACAACAAAGGTGTTAGTTAGTTACATGTGTATAGTTAGCCGGACCCCCTGGACAGGAAAACCCCCCAAAAACCTGCCCAGAAGTGCACCTATTCTAAAATTCACAATATTTTTAGGCACTAACTACTAAATCTTGTACTTACAATTATACTTAAAAAAAGGTCTAAGTAGGTTTACGTACAAGATGTACAGTCTAGTACTAAATCCTTAATGTAACGACATCAAGCAAAAGCTCCATTGGCAGAATCGTACTCTAAGAAATTGCAGCCATAAAAGCAACCCTCTCGCTTGACCCTTTACCCTTCTGTAAACACGTTCAAATTACAATATCTATATGTAGAAACTTAGCATGTAGCTACCGACCTACCTACTTATCTTCACGCATCAAAGGGCACCTTTAGGGATGATACGTGTCCTT